GTTTCAGTGCAAGGCTTGGGAATTCCAAAACAGAAGTCTGAATCAATGAAATCGTACTGTAAACTTTTCAAACACCATTACAGTAACCTGAAAAAGAGTCTCATTCACTTTCTGAAGCAATAACTTGGGCACTAGGCCAACCTCACTTACAAGGTCCATTAAGTTACTTCTATCAACTAGCAGAATTCACGGATCCTGCCGCTAAACTTGTACTAACCTTGCCCCTTGTTCCATCCTACAAAGATGCTGCTGATGCTGACGCCATGAAAGTTCTACTTTTGAGGGCAGACATTAACAGAAGCACAGGCTGCGCTGTTTTTAACAATCCTGTTTTGATCCTTGCTCTCTGCTGAATTCAAGTCTTTGAGACACTTCTAGCGCTCACCAGTCACGGAGAGAAGAAAGCCTCTGCTTTCCTGTTCCTGCAGCCACGGCTGTCCTCTCACTTCTCAAAACGTTGTCCAGAGGCAGCTTCACCTGAAGCTAATGAAACTGAAACCTTAGCGCCCCTTCTAAGGCCCTAGCAACACGTTCACCTGGTTATTTTGTCTTTTTCTTAAAGAGGACTCCTCACATTACATAAGCATCCGGTCCCACCAGAACCAGATCCTCCCCTGCCGCTTCCCTCCCCGACTGCTGCCCACCAGCCACTGTCCAGGCAAGGGCTGGGATGGCCCTGCGGGCAACGGTGGCTGCCAGTGGCAGTGCCACTACCTGCATTTCTAGTACATAAATCAGCCACACACTAGGGGAAGAATATGACAGGGTTTGTTTGTTTGCTTGTTGCTGCTGTTTCACCCCAAAAGACTGACTTAATGTGATGACCAGATTAGTATATGTGACCTGACAAAGGATGTTTACTCTGATCTATTTATTTTTTTTAACAACTTGTATTTTTCTTGCTTTCTATCTTTTTTTAAGAAATCTAACTTTTTTGGGGGGAGTAATTAGTATTTTTTTTTAAATGAAGGTACTGGGGATTGAACCTCAGACCTCAGACATGCTAGGTATACACTCTACCCCCTGAGCTACACCCTCCCACCTGGTTTATAAAGTTATTCATAGAGAAAGTTCCACAGTGTACATCACACACTTACCAAGTCACCTGTCTTGAAAAGAACCAAGTTACATTAAATAAAGCCTCTCCCAGAAAAGTGGGAATGGTTGTGTAGCACGTTACAGAGTAACCCTTAGAACAGTGGTTCACAATCAGGGGTGATTCTGCTCCCCAGGGGACATCTGGCAATAACTGGGAACACTTCCGGTTGTCACAATGGGGGAGGGAGTGCTGGGTGCTACTGGCACCCTGTGGGCAGAGGCCAGAGCTGCTGCTAAACATTCTACAACGCACAGGGCAGCCCCTACGACGATGAATTATCCCAGCCACAGCACTGAGAGCGCCCAGGTTGAGAAACTCGGCCTTAAAATAATGGCACATGTAGGCAGGGAAGCAAGGATTTTATCTGGAAAATGATTAACCTTTAAAGAATAGAGTGAGTGAAGGCCAGAGCTGCTGTCTGACTTCAACCGCCATGCCATGGTCAAAGCAGCAAAGGCTCCAGACTTTTAAGGATCATGGGGCTCCAGGGACCCTCGCCAAGAGTGGCTACGTGAGGAGGTGGTGGCATAATTTCAGGAGCACTAGAAAAGGCACTTCGAGTCCCCAGGTACCTCCAACACCCGCTGCTCTATGCTCGAAACCTTCTCGTGATGGACAGAGCCTTTCATTCCATAATGACGTTTAAAGCGCAAAGACCCCTGGAAGAAGGAACAGTGACCTACATTCATATTCAAGAGAAAGTGACTGACGACAGATTGCTTTTCCCTCGAGCTTTCATACAATGAAAGGCTCTGAGCAGCTGAAAGCGGTGGAGAGGGAGAGAGGCCAGGTCCCCAGGAGGTAGGGGAAGGGTGAAGGAGTGGGCAGCATGGGGTTCTGAAATAAATGTCACCTACTCTATAGACTTATGCCTGAGCCTGCAGGGAGAAAAGGATGCAGAGAAAAAAAGAAGTCACATTCCTGGCCTTGGAGAAGATTACAATCAAGTTCAGCTCAGGTGAAAAAACCTCCAGGAATGTTTGAAAGAATGGTCGGGATGCTATCCCTGCAGCTGGAACAGGGGACAAGGGTCCCCACCAGCTGTGGGATCACGGTGGACCCCAAACCCTGCTGGGCGGAAACCCCCACCTAACACCTAGCAAAGCCATGGACATAGTAAAAGGCTCGGCAGCCCTTCTTTGCTGAATAAATGGAAACTTTTCCCCATGAAGAGCTACTGAATTCCTAAAGCGCTGTAAAGATGGTTTGTTTTCCTTCACATTGTCTCCTGCAACCTTTCCCTCAATTAGGGAGGGAGGTCGTTGTTCATTTTCTTTACCTATCTGAAATCCTATTCCATTTTGCAAGGCCAGTTTATGTTTTCTCTGTATGTTCCTGATTTTGGCCTTTTTCCCCTCCCTCTTCTGAGTACAGGCCCTCCTAGAGAGTCATTCATCTAGTGCTTACTACATGTCCTATGTACCTTTCATAATGATCTACTGCCAGACAAGATGGGGGGGGGGGAGCTTTCAAGTTCATAACAAAAAAATAATAGATTGTAATTAAAAAAAAAATTTTAAGGGAGATCAGAAATAATCTGGGAAGAAAAAGATCACTGTACCGAGAAGCTGGGATAAAGCAGTTACCAGGAATTGCTGGAGGCCAAGTTAAAAAGATAAACATACTAGACACAGAGCAAATTCTTGCCATCTGATAAAAGGAAAGCCACAATTCCATGAGGACAGAATTCTGTTTTTGACATTAAATTCTAGGAGGAATTTGCTCCTGGCTTTTCACATATGCTGCCCAGTCATTTTATGTGTTTAGCTCAACAACTCTGGTAGGTCCTTTAGGACAGAGCCTACCTACAAGACTACATTTATCTGATAACAGCCTATGTACAACAACTCCGCCAATAGCCTGAAGACCCACGATTTTCTTGCCAATCTGGATACTCCAGTGTGTCTCAGGATCCCAAGAGTATCAGAGTAATAGAGTCATCTAATCTCTTAGCAGGAAGGACCCTCAGACCATTTGATCCTGCCTCTAGTTCCCCAGCCATCACAATGATGGGATTTTAAAGACATCCTCACCCCAGCCGCTGTCACCAGTTTGGAGCTAGGGGCTGGCAGGTCCACGCTGACCCTACCTTCATACCTCCCCGCCCCAATCGTGGTTTAGTTGATTGTCTTTTGTCTGTCTTTCTGTCCCCACCACAACCTCTCCACCTTTGAGTTTCAAGGCTTTGCTCATTCACCTTTGATTCCCTGCAATAACCAGCACCATGCTTTGCACAGAAGAACTGACTTTCTTTTTAGTTTTATTTCCAGTGAGAGGAAACTGAATTGGAAAGAGGTCCCAGAGCAGGCCTTTTCATTATTCTGCCCTGCTCCCCTCTGACAACCCCTCAAGCTGTAGTAGAAGACTGGCTCTTCCTACACCCCACAGCAAGCAGTCCAGAAAGGTTAAAGTGCAGGTTACTAAAGGAACTGAAGAGTCCAAAGACAAATTTTCTCTTCCTTGTCTCCATATGCACCCCAAAGGTACACTGGGCAACCCTTCAGAAAAAGAAAAACAACAATCTTGTATTCGGTAGGTGCTCAGTAAATGTCTATTAAAACAAAGAGCACAGGAACCTTGAACAGAGTAAGTACTCAATAAAAATCTGTTCAATTGAAAAGTTTGTAACACATCTGCTTTGCACACAGTAGGTGCTCCATAAATATCTTTTAAATTAAGACAATCCTAAGACTGCTGCCTTGCACACAGTAGGCCTCCTATAAATGGGCATTAAATCAAATAGAAGCAGATAACTCGCTCCTTAGAGAACCGGGCAGAGGTGACGTGAATCAAATCCTAGGCACAGATCCATGAATGGAAACGCGCGTCTGGAGGTAGCGCTTTCCAGAGTGAGTGTGGGAGAGGCGCGTGACAACGCGCGGCCGAGGAGGACACCGCTCTTTCTCCAGCCGCGGACCCACTGCCTGCTCCCGAGGACTGATCAGCGATGGGGATCCATTCCGCACCCAGGGGCGGGAAACCACCGCCGCCTCCAATTGTTACTTCGGGGCTGCACCTGGAGCTCCTGCCTCGGCCCTCTACCGGGCCATCCGCCCACCCTGGCTTCTCCCCGGATTCCGGAGATTTATGGGCAGAACAAAAGCAAAAGGGCCAGCCGGGCTTCTGATTGCTTTTCTGAGGGAGAGCAGGGGGAAGAGGCTGGGGGAGCTCGCCCGGGACCGCGCAGTGATGTCAAACCCGACTCGCCGCCCGCAGCGGCCCGCCCTCCCCAGCAGATACGGGCTCGGGAGTGCTGAGCCGGGAAAGCGGCGGAGCTCCCTCCCTCCCCTGCTCTCCCGGGCGCCCGGAGCCCCCGCCCTGGGGCCGCGAAGGGGCAGAGTGGGCGCCTCGGCGGGGTGGAGCGTAGGGAGCGCTGTATTAACCCTTAAACTAGCCAGGAAGGAGCCCGTCTGGAGGGGATGATGCTAGGCGACTGGGGCAGACCCCACAACCAAGATCCAAATCTGAACTGGCAGTGCGAACTGCCCTTCGGTGCCCCAAAATCCGACGAACTGTCCCTGACGATGGGGTCCCCTCGCGGCGTCCGGCCTCTATAGCTTGCTCCCCTACACCTCCACCTCCGCGACCCGGGGGAGCCCAGCGGCAACCTTCCCGTCCAAATCGCGGGTCCAGGGTCTACACCGGTGCGCGCGGTCCGCCGACCCTGGGTTCCCAGTGGGCGGCCGCGTCGACCCCCAGGAGACCGCTCGGAAACTCGCTAGTGTGGAATTTGCTGGGGGATTTGTTTTCGATTTTTTTCCCCTCAAAGGTGAGGTGGGGGCTCCAGAGAGAGCGGGGAAGTATCATTTCTTCCTTTCTCCTTGGCTTCTCCGGAGCCCACAGAACTCTGAGAGGAGCGGGCAGACCGGAGAAGAAAGAAAGCGAAGAGGGAGCCACTTACCCAAGGCAGAGCCGGAGAGCGCGGCGGCCCGGGAGCGAGCGGCGCCTTTGTCTGCGGTCGCGGCGCCGGCGCGCTCGGCCCGGCGGGTCCCAGCCCCTGCGCGCGGCGAGCTCCCGCGGGCGCCGGGACAGCCCGGCTCCCGGCTCCCCCTCCGGCTTCA